CATCCAAGCACAGCTAAAAAAGTCACGTTAGTGCCGTAGAAATCCTGCACACGTTGGTGCTCGGCTCAGCTTGACAATCTCCTAGTTGATTTTGCAGTAATTAAGGGTTTCATCTGACAACAGAAGAGCAAATATCCCTCTGCTCTGGCATTCGAACCACCAGAAAAAGCTCATCATTTGCCATATAGAGAGCGACATCTTCCCTATAACTTGAATTTCCAGCAATTTGCTAAGCAGACACCAACCGAAAGGCCAGCGGGAGCAGCACACACTCCGCGGTGTGGCCAGGCTCTGGCAAGATGGGCGTTAGTTTTTTTCAGCATCCCTGCTGATGGGCACGATGTGAATGAACGAATAATACAGTGGGCTCTCCAAATTACGTGTGTGCTCAGAGAGATCTGATGTGCTCTGGCTGCTCGTCACGCAGCCAGCAGCTCCTTGCTGAGGAGTTTTAATGCTGTAACAAGCTTCTCGCACGCTGGGTGAACGACTAGCCACGTTCATTGGCCCGAAGTGCCTTAAAAGAAGTGAGCCAGCCATCCCAGCTCACTGCCACCTTTGCCATCACAATGCCCAGCTGAGATCTGAGCACCCAAAAGGTCCTTTTTGCCCTGGGAGAAGTCCAACCAAGCCCAGCTAAGGATGGATCTGGTTTAAGCAACGGTAGGAAAGAAAGCATGGAGATGCTCTGTTCTGGCGAGGCATTTGGGGCTCCCAGCTCAGCTGTAATTTGATTTTAAGGTAATTATTGATGAAACCTCCAGGAGTCTGGGATTCAGGCATTGTGGCAAAGGGCAAAGCTGAAGCTTGGTGTCAACCCCTACCGAAACCCCTCCCGGCTGCCCTGCTGGGAACAGGGCGAAAGCTGCGTCAGCCCTTGCACAGCATCACTCCGGAGGATTTCTCATGCAGCTCTGGGACTGTCAGGAAGCGATTAAGAAAGCAAAGGAAACAAAAGCAAGTCAAAGAGTTTTGATCCCGCTCACCCTCTTCCCCCCACGGCGCTGACGCTGGAGAGCAGGATTATTCAGGGTCCCCTTTGAAGCTGCGCTTGCGTCAAAGGACGGCACCTGAAAACTGGGAATCATCTCGATTCCAGCCTGGGTTGAAGGTGGAGAGGAGCGGGGGCTGGTTCGGGGCAGAGCCTCATCTCTGCAAACAATTTTGCATGGTTCATTCTGTCGCCGGCACCCCAGTGCAGCCTCCTCTAACACAGCCTGTCTCCCTGTACTGCTACAGGCAATGAGAAAACCAACACTTGTCTACACACATTTCCCCAAGCTGGGCTTAAACCGCTTCACGGCCGAGCCGACAAATCGTGCTCTGCATCCCCACCCCAGCCGGGGAGCGCAGCCCCACCATGTTCAACCGCTCTCTGGTGTTGCAAAAAGATGGGCATTTCGGAGCAAACAGGCGACCGAAAGGCTGATTTCTCCAAACCCACCCCAAAAGCCAGGGGTATTATTTGCTTTCCTCCCCGCTCTCTTCCTCCTGGGAGACTCCAAAAGGCTGCTTTCTCCCAACCCACCCCAA